AGCTGTTATACACTTGTTGTGTACTCATTCCGAAGCTGTATGTGTTGCCTAAACGTCATGAAGCTTCAGCTATCAATGTTTGGCTCTGATGTGGTGAAACAGCTGTTTCAGAGATGTTATTATTGGGGGTCTAATCTGTATGATGTATACTATAGATGAAAGGGATACTGAACATACGTGCCAAAAGTTATTAAAATCGGATAAACATACGTAGCTGATTTCTTTTTTCTGTCGCTCAGTATATCATTACATTTACTGTAATCTTTTAAGTTCTTGTAATCTGTACACAATTAGACAATTTTTTATACAAGCAAAATGATAAAGAATTTAATTCCCTACAAACTCGTTTCTATTACTATTTACTTCCTAGGAAACTGGTGAGGAAGTATGGAAACCGAGAAAAATTGCAAAATTGAGATATATGTTTTGGATGTTATATGACATGTACACCATGAAAAACCATGTCACTTATTTCCGTCAGTCTGTCGGTTTGTCGTCCTGTCGGTCTGTCCGCTAATCTTATAACTTGTAAAATACTGGTCGGATTTTGATACAAGGTTACTACTATGCCAAGCATGAAAAATCTTGGTAGTTTTTGGTCATTGGATCAGTGGCAGCGGAACTAGGGAAAAATACACGAAAAAAATGAAAATCGCCCAAGCTTCGTTTTTTGACGTTTCAGAGGCTCCTGGCTATTTTTGGAAAAAGATTGTATGCATTGAAACCTGGTGGTTGCGAAATGTAAGGGGTCCCTTGTAATTGTAACGTTCTATCATTCAGAAGCGTCTGAATCCGGCAACAACGGGTAAATATAACTGACAAAAGTTCGATGTATAATGTGTAATAAATGTTTTAATATATATATATATACAGGGTGTCCGCAAAGTTGGGGTAGTCCTTTTCAGAAACAACTACCATTGAAATAACAAAAAAAAATAAATGAAAAAGTACTTACTCTCCAGTTGACGAGGACGAGAAGGGCTAAGTACGTCTCTGCCCGAAATCATACCGCTCCAACAGAAAATGAAATCAGCTGATGCGCTACCGAGCAGACGCAGGCGGTGGTGCAGACCACGAACAGAGGTAACAAATATGACGGCGTTGCCGTGTTTTCAGTTTTTAGGTAAACGTACTTTATAGGTATTGTTCGAAGTTATCGCCGTTTGATTCAAAAACACAGGTGCGTGCACGACGTAGCCAAGCATCGATGCAGACTTTGAGAATGGAGTCCCTCCCCCGAATGAAAGCACCAGCTTGTTCAATTCTGAGACGAAGTTCGTCAACCGTATGCACTTCAGTTTTGTACACTAAGCGTTTCATTTCTCCCCAAAGAAAAAAATCACATGGTGTTAAGTCTGGAGATCGCGGAGGCCACGCTACGGGTCTATTACGTCCGATCCACCTATTCGGAAATAATTCATTCAAAAACTCACGCACTTCGCGTCTAAAATGGGGCGGTGCACCATTGTGCAGAAACCATATTGATTGTCTTACACTTAATTTCACATCTTCTAACAAGAAAGGCAAAATGTTGCGTAAAAAGTCTAGGTATTGCATCCCGTCCAATCGAGTTGGGAGAATAAATGGTCCAATGAGCATACCGTTCACCATGCCAGCCCAAACATTCACCGAAAATGTTTGTTGAAAATGTGCCCGACGGACAGCGTGCGGATTTTCTACTGACCAAACATGAGTGTTGCGAAAGTTATTCTCCCCATTACGCGTGAACGTAGATTCGTCACCAATATGCACTTCAAAAAGTCCGGATTATTGTCATGTTGATGCAACAACCACTCCCAAAACCTCACTCTTGCTGGAAAATCGTCAGGTTGAAGGGCTTGTACATGCTGGACGTAAAACGGATACAGCCCCTCTTCACGCAGCGTTTGCCACACTTTAGTTTTTGATACTTGCACTTCTCTAGCCACGTCTCTAGTGCTTGTTGAGGGATTCTCGTCTACGCGATTCAGTAGTTCTTCCTCAACTTGCAGCATTCGTGATTGTCTAGGCCTCCCACTGTGCCCACCTCGAAGTTCCTCCGAACGATCTGCATTCACTGGCGAAGCCTCTATACCATTTTGAAGACATTCGCCATAAATTAACAACATATCAACGAGTTCATTATTGGTGTATGAGTGTGCAATTATTATTTTTTTTAAAACGCAATCGATTATACGGGTTCGTTTACCTCTACACGCGTGACCGTAACCGTCGGTTGAAGGTTGCATACTGACCTGACACACTGACCCCGACCCAGTTCTGTCGTCGGGTTGAGCCAGTGACCTTGTACCACTCGGTGATGTAGCGGGTCGCGGCTACAGAACGGTATTCAGATATTTTTGATGTTGCAGAGCCCTTTATCTCGGTTCCCTTAAGACATTGGTGTATATGGTACTAAGAAAAATTGCTTATGTTTTCAAGATCTACACGTCGTGTAAAGGAAAACCCCAACTTTGCGGACACCCTGTATATATATATATATACAGGGTGACTTTGAAGTTGAGTCATTAATTTTCAGATAATGATTGTAGAAGGAAGATAAACCAAAATATGTGTGTAAAAATAAAAAAAATTAAAAAAAAAATTTACCTTGTTTTATAAAGTATCCTCCCGACAAGTATTTCAGTGCGGACCTGTATTTGATCGTGAGGTCTTGGAGCACCGGCATGCCGTCCCCTGTGAGGTCTTAAGTCACCTGATTTACGAGCCCGTTATACTACATTAACAAAGGCACGAGGGGTTGGTTGTACTCGATTGGGAAACCGATCCGCCTAAACATGTGCCATTTTTTATTCCGTTTGAGCCACGCAACAGACACCACTATTCACTCACTCGTTACCGACTGACACTGACTGTATACAACTGATTAAAATAATTGTAAAAACATCGTTCCAAATTCTTTCGCTTTTTTGTTTCCGATGCGATGAACCGATAAGGCGGATTATATCCGTTGTTGCCAAACACGAGCACATAATATTATTATTGAGACAGGGCGGTACTCAAACTTCCAAAAGGCTATAACTTTGTTACTTTAATTTTACCAGAAAAATGGTAAAGGAGAAAAACATTTCTTTTGATCAAATCTACTCATTGTTAAAATAAATGACTCAACTTCGAAGTCACCCTGTATATATATATAGGTGAAAAATAAATCTACCGCCTTTAGTTGGGTACTTCGACAAAATTCAAGCAATGAGGACTCTTTATACTTTATTAGTCTCTAGCTTTCAATGGACTATGCTACCATCATCAGGAGTTGCAATAACATTAAGAAGAAATAGCAACTATTGTGCAAAATAATTTTAAATTACTTACAATAGTATGTGAGATTGTTGCTAAATGTTATTAAAAGTTAAGTTGAGGGGAATATTTAGTAACGTGGTGAAAGCTGGATCCATGGTACATTCGTTAAAATTAGTATAAAATACACACAGCTGTATGTCGGGAACACATCAAAAAGGATTGAAAATATTTGGAACGAAAGTTAAAATTATTACGTGTTACATCGTGAAACAACCTGACGCTGCACAAAATGGTGTGGTACAGGATCATAAGTAGAATGGAACATTTGACAGATGACAGAAGGCTGGTAGTGCCAGTGTCGATGGATTGAACGAAAGTTTGTAAAAATGTGTGCTATGTTGCCAAATCACTTGAGATGGTGTGACTTATCAAGATATGTTAAATAAAAGCTTGTCAACAGACCAGAGGCAGTTGAACAAACTATATTGTTAATGATATGGACAGTTGAATTAAACAATTATTATTTTATTATGAGAAAAAACATTAATTATTCAAATTTGAATGGGATGGAATTTTGTAGGAAAAGGGTGGAATAGACCAAAAAACCAGACTCCATTTATGGTTATGAAAAATTAAAATTTTTAGAGAGGTGTAAGTGCTCCATTCATACAGTTGTTATTTATGAAAATGTGGGACATTTCCAGGAATAAACGTTTGATAAGTCTATTTCTCTATCAAGAACTTTGATACTTGTATAGTTCATCAAGTCTGACCTATGTATATTTGGTTGCAATTGATGGAGTAAACTGTAAACTTTCATCTTTGAAAAAATATAGTTCATAGTGAGGATGGATGTTATATACGTATACCTATATACATATATATATATACATATATATATATGTATATACAGGGTGACTTTGAAGTTGAGTCATTAATTTTCAGATAATGATTGTAGAAGGAAGATAAACCAAAATATGTGTGTAAAAATAAAAAAAAAAATAAAAAAAAATTTTTACCTTGTTTTATAAAGTATCCTCCCGACAAGTATTTCAGTGCGGACCTGTATTTGATCGTGAGGTCCCCTGTGAGGTCTTAAGTCACCTGATTCACAAGCCCGTTGTACTACATTAACAAAGGCACGAGGGGTTGGTTGCACTCGATTGGGAAACCGATCCGCATAAACATGTGCCATTTTTTATTTCGTTTGAGCCACGCAACACATACCACTATTCACTGACACTAACTGTATACAAATGAATGAGATACCTGTAAAAACATCGTTCCAAATTCTTTCGCTTTTTTGTTTCCGATGCGATGAACCGATACGGCGGATTATATCCATTGTCGCCAAACACGACCACATAATATTGTTATTGAGACAGGGCGGTACTCAAACTTCCAAAGGGCTATAACTTTGTTACTTTAATTTTACCAGGAAAATGGTAAAGGAAAAAAACATTTCTTTTGATCAGATCTACTCACTGTTAAAATAAATGACTCAACTTCGAAGTCACCCTGTATATATATATATATATATATATATATATGTATATATAATATGCAAAATCTTCCTATTTCTTGGCATGTTGCCATAAACTTCATCGCAAAGTTCTGACAAACTCAAATACGCTCCTGAAAATCCCATCAATCTGCGTGCGGGTGTTCTTGAGCCGGACCCCTCCGCTCTTGTCTCTCACCTATCGCCCACGGCCTACCACGATCGGGCCGCGTAATAAAAGCTGCAAAACGATTTAAAGGACGCGGCGTCGACTCCTGCTCAGAGGTGAATCTTGATTTATACGCGAGACACGCGACACCCGCGAAGTCAAGTCAGCCGTGGAATCAAGGCGTACCGCGATTGTCGAGTGCCGGCAGTTGCCGAGATATTCGGACGAGATGTGCAGCGAAAGCTTTGAGAACAGGTATGGAAGTTATAGGTGAAATTAGTTAAAATTTATTAATTATTTCATACTTATAAAAAATACTTTTTCGAAAATTTTTGGAAATATGTGCAGTTTTGAATTTGTGTATGTAATTTTTCGATTTTTTTTTTAAGATTCTATACGTACTGCCGTATCTAGTAAATTTAATTAACGGCCTTTTTTTAAATTTTGATATTTCTTTTATGATCAAAATTACAAAATATATCATTGATAATGTTATTTAAAAACATAGTTATTCTTTCACTTTGTCAAACATTTCATATTAACTACATTTCTTAAGCATAAAAACAGTGAATCAATATAGCAAAGTGGTAATTTTCAAACTACTACACTGCTTTTATCCTCTGTATGATACAATTACTGCCTTTGATTACCTATTGTGCTGTTTACTTATTTAGTTTTTTTATGAAATAGTTATATTATTTGTAACTACTTATTGTTATAAATAATTGCTTTTGCTCCGAAAGAATCATTTTGAAAAGTATCCTCCGTTTATCTTGACATAAAAGAAAACATGCTGTGTCTAGTTTATTTATATAATCGTTATACAGGGTAGACCAGAATGACGTACAAATTTCAAATCCGCATTGCTCATAAGAGGCACGCGGGTGCGGGACACGGGTTGTGGGGATAGGTAGCTTGGTGCTCGGAAATTTAGTCGCCATGGAGCGTTTCAACGGTGAACGCAGCGTGCCTTCTGTATTAAGGCTTATTACAAAAAATGGATATTCGTGCACTATTGCGCGTGTTCTGTTTCGCTTTGAATTTAGTTTACATGATCTAAATCAATGTCCTAGTGAAAGTGTGATCAGGTCGTGGGTAGAAAATCTGAGTCTACCGGTTCGACAATGAATCAGAAACCTGAACTTTGTAGTATTTTCTATGATTTTCCAAAATCCGCTCAACTTAATGGCCCACCCTGTATTAAGGTAAAATAAAATTCTGCGCTACTGCGTGTGTTGCTTGAAAGGGTAATTTGTGTAGATTATGAAAACAATGAGGAAAGACAGTAAATCCGTTTTTTGCAGAGTATGGAAGTAGTAAATCACATATTACTGCTTTTCGACTTATAGAATTATTGGTAGTCTTCTGTAGGCCTCGACAACAATTGTGATCGGAAATCAAATTTAAATGACACGTAATAATATTTATTTAGTTCGGAAAAATCCAGATCTTAAAACATTCTCTCAAACTGCAATTTCTACATTTTACTTGAATATAGTCTAACATGAGATCATATTGGAAAAGTTTCGTGGAGCATAAACTGATTCATGAAATAAAAACGGCATTTTTACCATAAAGCTACTGCCTTATTTCAGAGAAAATACACAGGTATCTTATTTTTGAAAAATGTTTACATCCTAAAAATTCTCTAAAAACGTACAGCATTTTGTCTACAATTGCATATTTAATCACTAGAGAGAGAGAGAGAGAGAGAGAGAGAGTGTGTGATTTTTTGTAATTTTGTAAGCTTTTTAAACCGTGGAATGCGTTCATATTGAAAATGTTTCGTGGAACATAAAATGATTCATGAAAAAAAGAAACTACACTGGCATCTTTTTTATTTTGAAAAATGTTTACATCTTAAAGATTCTCGAAAAATACACAGTTTTGTCTATACTTGTACATTAAATTTCTAGAGCCACCCTCAAGAGAAACTGTGAATTTTCGTAATTACTTAAACTAAAATAATTTAGGAAATAAAAAAATGCAATGTTACCATGGAGTTTTTGTATTATTTCATGAGGGTATATTTTTTATGCAGTGATCGATACCTTTGAAAATAGGCTTGGAGCTTTCAGATTGTGCAATATTTGATGAGGTTAAATTATTATGTTGAAAAATAGTATTGGTGTCTGAACATATCTTTATAAAAAACATGTTTTACTCTAAAATATAGATATTATATTTATTATTTGAATCACAAGAATTCAAATGTCTGCTGAAATTTTTTTATTTCGTGATAACTCTTATCTTGGTGCATCTTGAAGATTTTTTTTATTTTCATATTAAAGGCCTGGAGCCTGAATTCACCATAAAAGCTACATTTTGAAACCTCAAATTCTGAATGATTTTGTGAAAAACATTTAGATTATTTAACTTTCTCCATATTTTGCGGAAAAACTCATACTATTTGGGGTTCTATAGACCTATGAGAAAAACAGTATGTTACAATGTTCTAATTTTTGAAATATTTTGTAAAATACTAAAACAACCAACATATAAGTTTGTGCATGGTACAATTTCTTGAATAAGTAATTTGGAAAGGTCCTAGCTTTTGCAGTGTAAGTATTTAAAGCTGCAGTTCAAAATTTAGAAATCTGCATTTCTAAATTGTGCAGTGCGTTGTTAAAAAATAATGGTATAGTTCTTGAAACTTTAGAGGTTTGTAATTTTTATAAAAAACAGTGCTGCCAACGTTTCCCGTATTATTGTTGACACAAGTTGTTTCTTGAAACATCATGATGTACGTATATATAGTTCTTCAAACTAATCGAATATTTTTCCTTTATTTTGACAGTGAAGACAGTGACTTGCTCCAGAATAACAACAACTACAAGACAGCGCACAAATTTGGGAAACATGAAACATTAGACAGCAAAGCAGTTCAAAGAAGAAGAATTCTCGCACAAGTAAGTAGCCCAGAAACAAATATCTTTAATTCACCATTTTCAAAAAATGTTGATTTTGTTGATTTTAAACGTGTTGGCGCTCCAGAGCGGCAAAGTAGCGAAAACTGTTTGAAGTCGCATCGACAATGGCACGGTTTTATGGTGTCAAAGTACCAGACGTCTCTATAATAATAAAATATATTGTGATCCATTGATTCCCATCAATTACTTATACTATAGGAGAAAGTAAATAGATGCTATTGTACAGAAAATCGTTGGTGCAATTCTAGGACTAGGAAGTAGCACTTAGCGATCTTAATTATCCAGACATCTATTTGACATTCTCAAAAATATAATTGTAAACGCAAACAAATTTCAAGAATGGATTTTACATCACGAAAAGCCATGTATATGATCTTGTGGATGAGCGCATTCGTAACACAGCAAGAAAAAACGTGCAACCACGAGATTTGAACCCGCATCTCCTTCATTCCGTCGACCCGACCTAACCAGCTGTCAACCAACTTTCCAGATCGACTCAAGTCTTTCAAGCCGCTTGATGTTCCACCTGGCGACGTTCGAGTAAAACAAAACAGATCGGTGAGGTATCTCTAATCGCTTTCTAGTTGCACCACGTCATCTCATTGGCACTTACCACGATACCACCATGCAAGTGCAGTAAACTGCAACCACTTGGATGCTGCCATTTTTCCTTTATCTCAGGTTCTTGTTTACTAAACGAAAACGTATGTCACTGTTTTCCGTTGATCTCTATGTGTTTTCTAGTTGCACCACGTCGTCTCATGGGCACTTACCACCGTACCACCATGCGAAGACAGTAAACTGTAACCACTTCTTCGCCATTTTCTTTTGTCTCACGTTGTTGTTTACTAAACGAAAACCCATATCACTCATTTCCGTTGGTCTCTAATCGCTTTCTAGTTGCACCACGTCATCTCGTGGGCACTTACCACCGTACCACCATGCGAGGACAGTAAACTGTAACCACTTCGTCGCCATTTTCCTTTGTCTCACGTTGTTGTTGACTAAACGAAAACCCATATCACTCATTTCCGTTGGTCTCTAATAGCTTTCTAGTTGCACCACGTCGTCTCATGGGCACTTACCACGGTGCCACCATGCGGTGACAGTAAACTGTAACCACTTGGATGCCGCCATTTTTCCTTTATCTCACGTTATTGTTTACGAAACGAAAACCCATGTCACTCATTTCCGTTGGTCTCTAATCGTTTTCTAGCTGCACCACGTCGTCTCATGGGCACTTACCACGATACCACCATGCAAGGATAGTAAACTGTAACTACTTGGATGCTGCCATTTTTCCTTTATCTCAGGTTGTTGTTTACTATATGAAAACGTATGTCACTGATTTCCGTTGATCTCTAATCGTTTTCTAGTTGCACCACGTCGTCTCATGGGCACTTACCGCGGTACCACCATGCGATGACAGTAAATTATAACCACTTTGACGTTGCCATTTTTCCTTTATCTCAAGCTGTTGTTTACTAAACGAAAACCTATGTCACTCATTTCCGTTGTCTCTAATCGTGTTCCAGTTGCACCACGTCATCTCATGGGCACTTACCACGATACCACCATGCAAGGATAGTAAACTGTAACCACTTGGATGCTGCCATTTTTCCTTTATCTCAGGTTGTTATTTACTAAATGAAAACGTATGTCACTCATTTCCGTTGGTCTCTAATCGTGTTCTAGTTGCACCACGTCATCTCATTGGCACTTACCACGATACCACCATGCAAGGGCAGTAAACTGCAACCACTTGGATGCCGCCATTTTTCCTTTATCTCACGTTGTTGTTTACTATACGAAAACCCATATCACTCATTTCCGTTGTCTCTAATCGCGTTCTAGTTGCGCCACGTCATCTCATGGGCACTTACCACGATACCACTATGCAAGGACAGTGAGCTGTAACCACTTGGATGCCGCCATTTTTCCTTTATCTCACGTTGTTGTTTACTAAACGAAAACCTATGTCACTCATTTCCGTTGGTCTCTAATAGCTTTTTAGTTGCACCACGTCATCTCTTGGGCACTTGCCACGATACCACTATGCAAGGACAGTGAGCTGTAACCACTTGGATGCCGCCATTTTTCCTTTATCTCCCGTTGTTGTTTACTAAACGAAAACCTATGTCACTCATCTCCGTTGGTCTCTAATAACTTTTTAGTTGCACCACGTCGTCTCATGGGCACTTACCACAGTACCACCATTCGGTGACACTAAACTGTAACCACTTGGATGCCGCCATTTTTCCTTTATCTCACGTTGTTGTTTACTAAACGAAAACCTATGTCACTCATTTCCGTTGGTCTCTAATAGCTTTTTAGTTGCACCACGTCATCTCTTGGGCACTTACCACGATACCACTATGCAAGGACAGTAAGCTGTAACCACGTGGATGCCGCCATTTTTCCTTTATCTCACGTTGTTGTTTACACGAAAACCTATGTCACTTATTTTCGTTGGTCTCTAATCGTTTTCTAGCTGCACCACGTCGTTTCATGGACACTTACCACGATACCACCATGCAGGGATAGTAAACTGTAACCACTTGGATGCTGCCATTTATCCTTTATCTCAGGTTGTTGTTTACTAAACGAAAACGTATGTCATTGATTTCCGTTGATCTCTAATCGTGTTCTAGCTGCACCACGTCGTTTCATGAACACTTACCACGATACCACCATGCAAGGATAGTAAACTGTAACCACTTGGATGCTGAAATTTTTCCTTTATCTCAGGTTGTTGTTTACTAAATGAAAACGTATGTCACTTATGTCCGTTGGTCTCTAATCATGTTCTAGTTGTACCACGTCATCTCATTGGCACTTACCACGATACCACCATGCAAGGGCAGTAAACTGCAACCACTTGGATGCTGCCATTTTTCCTTTATCTCAGGTTGTTGTTTACTAAATGAAAACGTATGTTACTCATTTCCGGTGGTCTCTAATCGTCTTCTAGCTGCACCACGTCGTCTCATAGGCACTTACCATCATACCACCATGCGAGGACAGTAAACTGTAACCACTTCGTCGCCATTTTCCAGTATCTCACGTTGTTGTTTACTGTACAAAAACCCATATCACTCATTTCCGTTGTCTCTAATCGTGTTCCAGTTGCACCACGTCATCTCATGGGCACTTACCACGATACCACCATGCAAGGATAGTAAACTGTAACCACTTGGATGCTGCCATTTTTCCTTTATCTCAGGTTGTTATTTACTAAATGAAAACGTATGTCACTCATTTCCGTTGGTCTCTAATCGTGTTCTAGTTGCACGACGTCATCTCATGGGCACTTACCACCGCACCACCATGCGAGGACAATAAACTGTAATCACTTGGATGCTGCCATTTTTCCTTTATCTTGGTTTGTTGTTTACTAAACGAAAACGTATGTCACTCATTTCCGTTGATCTCTAATCGTTTTCTAGTTGCACCACGTCGTCTCATGGGCACTTACCACGGTACCACTATGCGGTGACAGTAAACTGTAACCACTTGGATGCTGCCATCTTTCCTTGATCACAGGTTCTTGTTTACCAAACGAAAAGGTATGTCACTCATTTCCGGTGATCTCTAATCGTTTTCTAGCTGCACCACGTCGTCTCATGGGCACTTACCACGATACCACCATGCAAGGACAGTAAACTGTAACCACTTGGATGCCGTAATTCTTCCTTTATCTCACGTTGTTGTTTACTAGAGGAAAACCTATGTCTCTCATTTCCGTTGGTCTCTAATCGTTTTCTAGCTGCACCACGTCGTCTCATGGGCACTTACCACGATACCACCATGCAAGGATAGTTAACCCTAACCACTTGGATGCTGCCATTATTCCTTTATCTCGGGTTGTTGTTTACTATACGAAAACGTATGTCACTCATTTCCGTTGATCTCTAATCGTTTTTTAATTGCACCACGTCGTCTCATGGGCACTTACCACCGTACCACCATGCGAGGACAGTAAGCTGTAACCACTTCGTCGCCATTTTCCAGTGTCTCACGTTGTTGTTTACTAAACGAAGACCCATATCACTCATTTCCGCTGGTCTCTAATCGTGTTCTAGTTGCACCACGTCATCTCATGGGCACTTACCACGATACCACCATGCAAGGACAGTAAACTATAACCACTTGGATGCCGTAATTCTTCCTTTATCTCACGTTGTCGTTTACTAAAGGAAAACCTATGTCTCTCATTTCCGTTGGTCTCTAATCGTTTTCTAGCTGCACCACGTCGTCTCATGGGCACTTACCACGATTCCACCATGCAAGGATAGTAAACCGTAACCACTTGGATGCTGCCATTATTCCTTTATCTCGGGTTGTTGTTTACTATACGAAAACGTATGTCACTCATTTCCGTTGGTCTCTAATCGTGTTCTAGTTGCACCACGTCGTCTCATGGACACTTACCACGATACCACCATGCAAGGATAGTAAACTGTAACCACTTGGATGCTGAAATTTTTCCTTTATCTCAGGTTGTTGTTTACTAAATGAAAACGTATGTCACTTATGTCCGTTGGTCTCTAATCATGTTCTAGTTGTACCACGTCATCTCATTGGCACTTACCACGATACCACCATGCAAGGGCAGTAAACTGCAACCACTTGGATGCTGCCATTTTTCCTTTATCTCAGGTTGTTGTTTACTAAATGAAAACGTATGTTACTCATTTCCGGTGGTCTCCAATCGTCTTCTAGCTGCACCACGTCGTCTCATAGGCACTTACCACCATACCACCATGCGAGGACAGTAAACTGTAACCACTTCGTCGCCATTTTCCAGTATCTCACGTTGTTGTTTACTGTACAAAAACCCATATCACTCATTTCCGTTGTCTCTAATCGTGTTCCAGTTGCACCACGTCATCTCATGGGCACTTACCACGATATCACCATGCAAGGATAGTAAACTGTAACCACTTGGATGCTGCCATTTTTCCTTTATCTCAGGTTGT